ATATCCTAAGCTAACTGAGCCATGGGGAGGACCCTACAGAGTCATCAAAACGAGTGAAAATTCTGCGCTAATATCTAACATAAATGAAAAGGAAGAACCTATCCAAGTTCCATTTGACTCGCTTATAATCCTTCCTCTTGAGCTCGAAAATCTACCAAGGAAGACAACAACAAAAAGAGTCAAAAGGCGACATGCAAAAGTAAGCAAAATTGTTTGCAGAGCAACTGCCAATGGAGACGATACAAGTGCACTTGGACTCTTCTTTCGGTGTCCGGGAAAGTATGCTCACGATGGCAGCGGATACTCGTACTCATGCACCGTGCAGCAAAAGTGTTTCAAGGATGTCGTACCAACCGCGTCAGAGGCAATCGGAAATATTCGATTCGATTCTATCTTTTCTCTTGCGAGATTGATTTCATTCATGAACATGAGAGGAATGAGCAAAATAAAAGATTTCTGATGTTAGATAATAAGCATCCTTTTATCACGATTACTGGTGCTCAGAAAGCTTATCTCTTTTATAAGAAATTTTGTGATCATGTATTTCGATCCATTGATTCTCCATGATGGATCCTTCTTGTCTCTTCCTCATGATAATGGCACCGAAAGGTCGACAGCCAAAACTTGTCTGCTCATTGGCCCCACAACGGATGCACCTATTGCCAAGAAAGATTGGTGCCGGTTAGCTTCATCCTTGCCGACGGCAGCCCGCATGGGAATGAAAATCATAGCAGTCGCTCCGCCACGTGGAGACAAAGCGTATGAACAAAACAGGAGCGATCTCAATGATGCCATCAACCTCGCGAAATCATCTGCGGTCTTGTCGAAGCAGTGTCTGTGCAGCCTCATCCCCAGCATTGAATCTGCGAGCGAGCCCTCCCATGGGCCAGGAGCACACCCAAGAAATTCGTGTGCGGAACCTTATTCAAAAGGACGTCATCAAAGAATACTTTCAGGTTCTTCGCGTATACGTGAAGTCGGAGGTGGACATGCCACCTATCAGAGCAGTTGGAGAATCACGCGTGCGCGAGTATTTTAAACAATGTCACGTGACAGTGGACGCTGTTTGAAAAGTGGCGGGACTTTGCCAGTGGACACTGTTTGAAAGTGGCGGGCTTCCTTTAAACGTTGGGTCCCGCCACTATTGAGTCGCTGGTACCTAGTTCGACTCGCTGGTACATCGTTCGACTCGCTGGCGCAACGCTCGGATCGCAAACTATGACATCGGCCCCACTTCGCACTTGGACGAATGCTGTGACAATGAGTTTAAGTAACAATTCATAGTTCAGTTTGCAAAACAACAACAGACATTGAAATATAAATACGTGACATGTGACATCAACAATATGATGTCATCGACATACAAAAAAATATCGCAACAGTATCGTGTATAAAAGGATTAAACAGATTCTAACCAACACACGACATGAAGAAGAACTTCTAAGAGTATTATGAAATTCTGAGTACCGAACAACGAGCGACAAAGAAACTTTAATAGTTATCGGAAGCTGAGGGGTGGGTGGGAAGGGGGGGGGTAATAGCCGTGAGCGAGAGTGTCGCGGCGTACGCCACGTCCTCGACTTGGTTGCCTGTCGCCACGATACGAGGATGATGATGAGGCCGTCCATGGATACTGTAGTACTGGAATCGCATTCGGGAGCATCTGGGTGGGATACATCTGTTGCGTTTTCCTGAATGATGAGAACCTGGGTATCTCTTCGGAGGTCCTGTTAGCTTCATCATTTTCCCTTTTTTTCTCAAAATACTCGCGCACGCGAGATTCTCCAACTGTTCTGATAGGTGGTATGTCCAACTCCGACTTCACGTATACGCGAAGAACCTGGAAGTATTCTTGATTTCATGCACGACGGAGCTGCGTCGACAAGATGAAGCTAACCGACACAATCTTTCTTGGCAATAGGTGCTCGTTGTGGGCCAATTGAGCAGAAAGTATTTGCTGTTTGGTGCCATTATCATAGAGAAAAAGACAAGAAACCCAGCATGCGAAAATCAATGATCGAAAATCATGATGACAAATTTCTATTGAAGAGATGAAGTTTCATGAACCCATATTATCTTGATTAAAGGTGCTTAATTTATTCAAACACCAGAATCTTTTTATTGCCCTCATTCCTCTCGTGTTCATGAAATGAAAACAATCTCGCAAAAAAAAGATGGAATCAAATCGAATATTTCCGATTGCCTCTGACGCGGTTGGTACGACATCCTCGAAACACTTTTGTGCACGGTGCATTAATACAAGTATCCGCTGCCATCTTCCATGAGCACCGAAAGAAAAACAGTCAGTGTCATCTTCGGGCATTGCTTTAGGGGTACTGCCTGGTGTTTGTATATGGGCTTGTGATCTCCTGTGTCCAATTTCATGAACCACTAAGTCTCGTTTGGGTGAGCTCTGCATCCGTGACACCGAACACATTATTAAATTCCTTCAATAAGCTCACGCTTCACATGGTAAAGTGTTATGCTGTTCGATTATCTCCATTAATGTATCTATCCGGCTCTCAGTGGAACACCATTTTTTTGGTCTGTTCAGATCCAACATGTCCCTCTCAGGCTCGACATACTATGGTTTAACCCAGTCTTTGACTTGCCATTCTCCAATTGGTTCTTCTTTTTTGAATACCATTCCTTGATTTGAGTTGTTGATGACAGGTATGTTTACTTCGTCGTTGTCCGTGGCACTGCATACACCATCAGGTATGAGTGGATGAGACGACAGAGAAATGGCGACTTCGAGATCAGCTCACTGACCACATGTCAAAAGGCAGCGGCTTCGCATTGCTTTCGATGGAACAGAAAACCCTACTTTTAACCCTTGCTTTGAAGCCTGTGCTGACGCCTCCAGCTATTTGACCTTCGTCCTCAGGTTCCATGCGTGTATCAGCGCCTTTGGAGAGCCTGAGGTTGAACAACTCTAGCGCGTTTGTACCCAGCATTACCACTTCGTCGAAACCTTTTCCTACATAGGCTGGCACAAACTCGAGCTGGTTTTCAACGTTATGGCTATACATATGGTGTCAAACACTTCATCACAGTTTCCGGACGCATCTCGATCCGTAATTTTGGTTTGGGTAACCGTTCGATGTATTCGTCCAAGTTCACACTCTCAGTTGCGGCCCTATTCAACAATCTTCACTGGGATGATCGTGGTCTGCGAACCCATGTCTGTCGTGTCTTGAAAGCGCTTCGCCTTTATACCACAAATCGTTACCTCTACCAGCGGCTTCTCGCCGAACAGTTGACTCGAGTTAGACCAAGCGCTGTTCTACGTTGTGCACAACCATTTATCTATGTGAGAGGCGTACGCTGGGCCGGGCGTTCGGTGAGCATCTACCGCTCTTGCAGTGTTTTGTTGCCGGGCAGGTAGCTCATGACATTCTCTTGCTAAATGGCCCATAACACCTGACAAATCGCTTTTCTTCTGAAGTCGTGAAGTATTTCTTCGTTTGGTGCCATGGGGCTGAGTGCGCCATGGTTTCACTGCTTCGGGTATTTGAGACGCTCCAATATCCTTCCAACTGTCCTGAGGGATGCCACGTTGTCTATCCCATGCAGGATGTTTATTGCCAAACGATTGTGTAGATCTCTTATTGTTTGATGATGTGTATTCATCAGCTATCTCAAACTTCTTTCAAGCGTAAGGCCGCTTCCTTGACCTTTTCGTACGCTTGTTCGCAATTGTTGGTCTCTAACGCTTCAGTTAGGCAATAGCTTCCACTTCTGCAAGGAAGTTGCTTCTGCGGGCATTTCTGGGTAGGCCTAATTCGCTAAGTTTTCTAAAACGAAGCAAATTCGCTCATAGTCTGTCCGCATCGAATGGTTAAAGTGCGCAGATCTGATAGAGCTTTTACTCTTTGGCTATTTCCGTCCACGTGTAGCCTATCTCTCATTGCGTTCTCTACTCCCTCGAAAGTACCCTCTTGTACATCTTTTGGTAAGGTCTTGAATATTGTTAAAGCGTTTCTCCTCGGAAGCTTTAGAGAAGTTGAACTCTGTTAGAGTCTTTTCACTGACCTTTTGGGTACTTCATGTCAAAGAACTCAAAAATCTCTTGAAGCACACGCCTGGTCTACCGAGAAAAGGCTGTACTTCTGGTGAGGACATAGTATGCATGTAATCACTTAACGAAAACTTGTTGTCCTCACCTGTGACCGACGATTGTTGAATTCCTTGACAGTTCTCTATCCGTCTCTCGGCATAGTCACGCAACACGGTTGGCTCGATTGTATCCAAGTCTTTGAAGAGCGCATCTGTAAAGACTGGTTGCTTTGATCATTCGTTTCTACTGAACTATACTGCCTCGATCGATTAGATTCACCTTGCGCTCATCCGCAGCTATCGTATTATCGTGGGCGTTTGCCTTGGCCTTGCTGCCCTAAGCCTTCGACTTCTTGACGCAATTGTTCAACCTGTAATTCTTTTTGAATCAATTGCAGTCGGGTACTCATCAGACTTTTGCCTTTCTTCTAAACTCTAGGCCTAGCCCTCTCACCCTCATGCGTACTTCCTCTTCCTGACATTGCAGGTTTTCGCATGCTTCCTCCTTTACTTTGATCATCATCGCTTCGTTCTTACTTGAGCGTTCTCTCAGTTGAGCTACACTTTATTTGTGCTTTCTTAGCAGCTGTAAGGCAAGTTCCGCTACATTAGGTTTACTCCACTCGCTTATTTCTACGAGCGTTGCTTTCACAATTTCTTCAACTACTGCTACTTGCTCTCGCACCGAAGTCACTACCGAGTCTCTTCTCGGGTCATCAGTGCGCATTACTTTCGACAGCTCCGAGTCACAAGTTATAGCCATCGAATTCACTTGATTTAACATTTTGTTTGAAAGTCTGTCAAATTCTTTCACAAAATTGTCACTTACATTCTCATCAAACATTTCCTCGCCTTCAACGGGTGCGGAGCAGCTCCTCTTCATTTAAATGCGCCATCACTTTCTGGAATACAAATTTTAACTCACAGAGCTTCAAAATCTACTATGGCGCACTTCACGAGTCTCGTACTATAGAGGAGATCAATGCTATTGAACAACAAAAATCACGATTATAATAATCGGAATTCGATGACAAACACGTGGATCACGGAGTGATGATAGTACACGAAACAATATAGTAGATGCGCAGATTCCTTTAAAGGCAAAATTCGGGATAGGACTCAAGATTTTTCTGACCGTATATGAACTATTGGACGCCAATTGAGTCGACATGCAAAAAGAAAGAACGAAAAAGCGTCTCTAACAAGCTCAAAATGGGATCCCCTAGTTCCTTAACAGTCTACAAGCCTGGGTTAAAGAAACAACGTCCCCGGACGAGTTGTCCGTCATTGCTGGCACCATGCCAGCTGTGCTAAATCCAGGTCATAGATCGATGATGCCGGAAATTCTCAGCTGATTACCACCTTCCTGCCTGGTCTCATTCTCTTTTCCTTCTT